GAAATATATATATTAGAATATCCAAAAGTAACAGCTCCAGCGATAGCAAGTCCCAACGCAGCAGATTTTCCACGTCCTCTAGCTGCAGTTAGCGATACAGTAGACCTCAAAGTTTTTTCAGAAATACATTCTATAAACTTAAGAACTGCCTTTGCCTAAAAACGTTTAAATCATATTTAAATATTTAATATAAAATTAAAAAATTTAATAATAATTTTATTATATACATTTAATAATAATTTTATTATATACAATGTGTATATACAATTAACACCAAAACAACTGATAGTATGGATTTCGTTGGGATTGTCGGTGATGCCAATTTGATAATTTTTCGTTCTTGCTTTCAATTAGAAAAGTTATTTTGATATTATTTAGTATTAGAATTATCATTAATGTTATTTGTATTATGTTTATATTTTTAATATTTTAGATTGCATATCTAATATAAAAAAAGAAACAAATTGAAATGATTAGCAGAGCCAAAGTAACACCATCAGCCGTTTTAATATTAATTCATTTTTATATTAATTTACCTGGTCGACTGTTTTACAGCAATTGATTAATGCAGATACAGGCTGAGTGTCCTGCAGACTTTCCTTTAAAGTATCCAAGCTTGATTGTTCCTCTAAAACGTCTGATTTAGGCACAGGTTCTATCCTTAGATTGTGAGAAGAAATAGGCAATACATTCAGTTGGTCATCAACAACTAAACATCGAGTACATGAAGCCAATGACAGCAAAAATCTCTCATTAAATCGACATACTATATCCTAAATTAATAAGATAAATAAGAAATTATATTAATCTATGTATATGGAAATTATATATTAATTTATATAATATTAATTTTATATGTTTCAAATATATTTAAAAAAAGTGTTATATTATTACTTTATGAGCTTCAGTACGGAATCTCTGATGAACATCCATGTTCATTGTATATAACTGCTTCAAAGAGTTCATAGATTGCAATAAAAATACAATAATTCCACCACCCTCTACAGTTTCAATAGTACGTGCCAATAAATTTGGAGTAATCGCCTCAAAATCCTAAAATCATTATATATAATATTAAAACAAAACTGTAAAACAGATAAGCAAGAAAAGATAAAATTATACATACCTGTAATATACACATGCCATATGTATTACCTAATATTCTGTGTGTCTCATTATAATAACAGTAACGAATATTAGTTGAAATAACAAACAATTCAAATGGATTATCTTCGTTAATGTCCAATTTGCCCGACTTGATTTTCTTCTGCAATGATTTCATTCGTTTCTTTCTATGGCTACTAAAACCTAAGTCTTTTTTGTAGCACCAAAGCACAGAAGGTCTAGCTTTAACGACAGTCTTGGATAACATATGGTGTAACAATACTACCTAAAAGAATATTTGTTTTTTAATAGATATATATTTTAAAGAATATACAGTTTTTTCAGGCTTTAGAATCTAAATATTTAAGTTGTATGAGAATAAGCAAATGTTTTTAGAATCTTCAAATAATAAAGAAGTTCTTAAACGATTTCTTAATTAATACATTTTTTGATTAAATTTTTTTATTCATTTTAGCAGCTGTACAATGGAATTAACAACAAAACAAATTTGTGAAAAGGTTATTTGGCTCACTTGGTCCCTCGCTTTCTCGCCGACAATGACAAACAGTGTCCTATGTCCCATAGAAACACCATTTTCTATCAAAACGCGTAGCCGATTGTCTATCTTCTTACGAACCATTCTGACAAAAATATCGTGTTTAAATACACATCAAAATTGTTTAAGCCACGTCAATCAACCTCGTGCAAGTATGCACATGCAATCTACAGCCCACAGCCTGCACAGACCACAAGACACATCCACTACGAATATCCATACTCACACAAAGAGCAACTCCCACCACAAGTTCTTTTCTTTTTTTGATAGAAATAACACAGGAAATAACCTATCAAAAACCGTGCATTCTAGTATGTACATTTCTGATAGGTTGAAATTCTTAAACCTGATACACAATTAAAATATAAGCAATAGAAATGGGGAATAACAGATTGCAACCTATCAGAAATCATGTATTATAATAAATACGGATTCTGATAGGTTATAATCTAATAGTCTCGGTTCCTATTGGCTGTATTTTCAATTGTACATCAGGCTTTACTCTGTGTTTTTGTACGCAATCCCTCATTGCTCCTCAAGCTTTTCGTGACGGAGGAAGGCTGGAATGGCCACTCTCAAATTTCTTTCTGTATATAGGAATAATTTAGGTTATGATGAGAAATGTAACATACACAGTAGAGTAAGTTGCTGACGGACAAGGCGCGATGTGACTTCCGAAATGAATGGAGCAAGACCGATGTGCACGTTTAAGTTGCGCGACTCTTTTCGACGTATTGTCACGAGGAAGAGAGAATAATTTTAGGCGAAGCGATTGTTCACTCGGTTGTCTTTTGTAGTTCACAATTTTAGAGCTTTGTATCTTGTTCAATTCGGCGATAACTTTATTAGTGTGTTCCTCACGGTGACAGTCTTTACTTTCCTAATTTCCATGTAGCTATAATTATTCTCTATAATTATTCAGCACAAATTAGGATGATTCAAAATATTCTGCCGACCTTGTAAGTAGTTTACTACCGATTGACACGTGTGTTTTGATTTTTATGAGATCAGTTCATTAATGTTTTGTATCTTGACATGTCTATATTAAAAGCAACATTTGAAACGCTCTCTGATACGAAAGATGGTAGAGAAAATTCCACTGCGGAAGACCATCGCTCGATTGGATTTTCCAGCGATTATAGCCTTTGGCAATCCTTTGCTGGATATTTTTGTGATACTGAAAAATGATGAGCTGATTAAGAAGCACAATCTTAAGATAGACAGCGAAACAGAGTTGTGCGAGAAGAATCTGCAAGAGTTAATCACGGATTTGCCATCAGAGTTAATAAATACATTTATTAGAACACAGATGTTTGCTTTGTATATAAATTTTAATTTTTTGTAACATTTTAATTTCAATTTGTTGTCCGGAATACATCTAATTAAGATATATTTTTATGTTTTCATTCAATAAATTATTTTAATAAAATACTGGAGATAAAGTATATGTAGAATTTATTTATAATGATGAACAAGCATAATAATATTTAACAGATTTACATTTATGTGTATATTACATTTTTATTGTGAAAAATGTATGTATATATATATATATATATATATAAAACAGCAGACACATTAACATAGAAATCATTTTATTTTTATTCAATATTTAATAAGGCAAAAAATATAGAATAATTCTTGTGTTGATATGTTTGTTGCTGGAAAGTTTTCATACAGTACAAGCATCAATGTTTCTTTAAGCTTTTATTTGTATGCACAATTTATAAAAAATATATATATATAGGATGGCTAAGTACTCTGAAAAATTTTAAATAGTGATTCCTCACACAAATCAAAATTTAAAAAAATACAGAGTGTCAAAGTTGAAGGAAAAATTTTATTTTTTCCAAAATTTCAGGAATTGTCGAGTTATTTTGATGAAATTTTAAATATACAAAGTTTCATTAAAATAATTCCAGTGGTTTTCGAAATTTTTAGAAAAATGATTTTTTTTTTAATTTTGACATTCTGTATCTTTGAAATTAAGCTCAAATATATGGTATGAAGTTTTTGTCTTGAATTTGTAAGAAATCCCTTAAGATCACGCCTTAAAATCTTTTAGAATACTTAGTAGTTATTTTATATACATACATATATTCAATTTTTATTAAGTATGAAAAATTTATACGCTATAGGATAGAACAATATACAAATCCCGGAGGATCTGCGCAGAATACATTGAGAATCTTGCAATGGCTCTGTGACGAGACCCACGAGTCCCAAATCAGTATTTTCTACGGAAGTCTTGGAAATGATCAAAGAGGTTCGATCTTAGAAAAATTAGTTCGACTTGCAGGAGTAGACGCAAGGTTGGTAATACATATAAATAAAAAGCGTTATTAAGCATTTTATAGAAAATATGACAAATTTACAATAATATTATAATTGTTTTATTAGATACACCATACATCCGACTTTGCCTACTGGATTATGCGTTTCTCTTGTGTATGATACGTCTCGCAGTCTCGTTGCTAATATTGGTGCAGCTAGTGTATATACGTTGGATGATCTTAAAAAGGCTAATCTGCAATTAGATAGTATTAAAATAATTTACATCGAAGGCTATTTCGTAACGCACAGTTTAGATGTGGCCAAGGAACTGGTCAAGCGGGCGCAGGAGAAGAATATTATTGTAGCGTTCAATCTTAATTCTTTTTATATATTCCAGGTATGTGAGAGTTATAAAATATTATTAATATTAATTAATATAATCAGCATATCATATGAGGCATGTATCAAATTAATATCAATTAATTTAATTATTGATTTATGTGAATTGAAATAACAAATACATCATTTGTTTACTTGAGCTTTTTTAATGCTTTTGAAGGATCATCAAGCGGCCATTTGCGAAATGGTCGGTCACGCTAAGATCGTGTTCGGTAATGTGAGGGAAATGATCGCGCTAGCTCAGGCATTGAATGTGAAATACGACGATGTTGTTGATATACCTTTCCTATTGAATAGTTTAAAAAGAATTACGATGGATGTTTCTAGCGCTAATAGTAAGGACTGGTTGGCCGACGATGGTATATTCATCATGACACGCGGTGGATGCGCGCCAGCGATTATCGTGTGGGGCAGAGGACAATCCGTTCAGGTTTGTTTCGATCAAGAGAATAAATAAAGACAATCGAAAGAGACAGGCGGCAGTAGAAGGTTCAATTCTTTCGTATATTTGTTACATCCAGGTGCAGCCCATCGTGCCTAAGACACCTATTGTGGACACAACAGGCGCCGGCGATGCTCTGGCGGCTGGCTTCCTAGCCGGCGTCTTGGCTCACTGGGATCCGAAGAGTTGCCTAGAATTAGGATGCAAAGTTGCGTCTTGCATGATAACCAAGCTCGGCATCACACTGCCGAGCGACATGCCTCCTGACTTTCTGCCATAACGATTTGATCTCTCTAGGACGCTAATGACTCGTTACCTGAACGTAATTGCATACGGTTATTTATTGCCTGAAAGTTCTATTAGCATAGATAACTAGCATTCCTCATCGATGTTACATCCATATTCCATTAAGGGGATCCTAAAGTCGTTTGTTTTATCGCAATAATTTTTTGATTGAATGTAATAATTTTCATAGAACGATATCGCACATATTATTTTTACAGATTTGGAAATCTCCTTCTCCAGAATTAAAGTATATCCATTAATATAATATATATGGAATTTATATCGATAGTTTTGAAATTGATATCTTTTTACCATTTTTAGTGTCAAATGGCGTGTAAAGCTGTCGAGACATTTATTTGATATAAAAGTTCTACAATCTGTATTTACGAAATTGAAGTCTACAGACTATTAGATTACATGAAGAAATAACGTCGAATTTTTAGAGTTAGACTCTAGTTTCAAGAATTAGAAAAAGATGAAGAATAAATCGAACTGAGAATAAAGTTAATCTACATTGGTAGAAACGGGCATTAGATATCTAATTCTATACAGTATCGTTCTACGAAAATTTATGTATGTGTGTATGTGTGTGTGACATTAGTAGTATATAAAGATGCGTTGATGTGTCGCATTTTATTGGTAAACGATGTTGTTGGAATTCGACCTTCAGTTTAAGATCCCCTTAAGCCAGTGTCATATGATGTATATTTTTTTGTTTGATTGCTTATATTTTAGTAAATTACTAGAAATTATGTGCTCTGTATGATGCAATTCTAGTAATCTACTAGAACGTGAACAATTTAGCAAGAAAATGTGCCGCTCGTGTATCGCTGGCTTCAGATATTTATTTGATATTGATTTTATTTATAGCAGAAATGCGCGTATATCGCGAAGTTATATTTGAGAAAATTTTATTTATTAAAGACTACATCTCGTTAAATCCGAGTCGTCAGACCATACATTTTTAAATGCAACAATTGTATTATTATTATTAATTGATACAAAGTAATAGGGAGAAATATTAGAGATTTCCCTTGATAATCGTTGCCACTATAGATCTGTAGTTTATCTACCTGTTGCAATGTCCAGAAATGTGTAACAGAGTTTGTAATTAACATTTATATAATAAGTTTCCCTTTCTATTTTTTTATTATAAAGTATAGAGTAATGTGTCAATGTTGATTGTCATACATATATATAGATATGTATATGTACAAATATATGCAAGGAAATGTTATAGAAAGTTCATATTCATTTTATTTTGATCTTTTATCTTCTTTTTTATAATATTCCTTGTTGATATAAAAGATATTGGAATGTTTTCCTTTTATTATCCAATTGTGTCAGAGTTTTCAATCTTAAGTTCCTCAATCAAATTCCGTTTAATTTAATCTGCGATTAACTCGACCGGCAGAATTGTTTAGGATAAAATTTCTACACAGTTCTTAATCTTTTTTCGATACACATCAATAGAATTAATATAATAATTAATATAATTTTATTAATTTAATAGATCTATTTTCTAAAATAGTGCTGATTAAATTAATTAGAATTTGGTCAAAGTTCTAATATCCATTTTTACCAAAATGTAGAATAACTTTAATCTTGGTTCAATTTGCTCTATCTTTTTTTAATTCTTATAATTTGAAAAAGATAAACCGAGAATAAAATTAATTAATTAAATGAATCTAAATCTTTTTTATCTCTTGGAGAAATGGACATAAGTTAGGAATTACGTAATCATAAATTTTGTTTCAATTTTGTTCGAGATGAGAAAAGTTTGAACCAAGACATTGTATCAATATAATATTACATTAATCATCATTTTTGGGCCTGTTCTTTTTCCAAAAAAAATTTTGAATTGTGTAGATTGATGCAATAAGTTAGTATTATTGAAACAAATCATTTGTTTTATTCCAACTTTATTGCTTAGTGTACATTACTTGCAAGCTTTAAAAAAAAAAAACAGGCCTAGGCAATTATATTTTATGGACATAGCACGGAACAGAATCAAAGGATTGTGGATGTTATCTGCTGGAAATATCCGGTTACATAGTCACGATACACATTTTATGCACGGAGGCGCCACTAGATGGGTCCATTTAAAACGTGGACACGTCGGTCAGGCTATTTCCTGATTCTGGAGTTCATTTACGCCTGTTTACGCTTGTTTACACAACGATTGTAACGCACTTTTTCTGTCGTCAATCTGACTACGGCGTGTAAAGGAAACGGATGACATGTGTCGCCCAGGCGTGAAGATTCACAATGCATCGGGGCATTTCCGGGAGTTGTGACGAGCGGGCATGGGTACAGGAAGCGAGAGGCGTGTCAATTGACAGGAATTACATATATGATTTGTCATCAAGTTCGCACAACGACAACGACAGGTTACCGCGTTTCTTGAGGCGTGCCGCGTGTCGATTTAGAGTAAGGTTTTAATCAACTACATCGAAATTTCATCATGACGCCGCGACTGGTGCGGGAGAAGCACGTCAAATACTTCCTAAGGTTACTACACATCATGCCTAGCAACCTGACGGATTTCGACTCTACCAGACCGATGATAGCATACTTTGCATTCTCCGGTCTGGATCTGTTGAACTCGCTGGATGAGATCAGCGAGCAAGCCAAGTCTGAGGCGATCGACTGGATTTATGGACTTCAGGTCGAAGGAGCCGGGCCGCGTTCCGGTTTTCAGTCATCCACAACGATACCGAAGGATGTACCCGAGTATCAGTATGGTCACTTAGCGATGACTTACACTAGCTTAGTAACCCTCTTGATTCTTGATGACGATCTGAGTAGAGTTGATAAACAATCCATCATCGAGGGGGTCCGAGCCTGTCAGAATCCTGATGGATCTTTTACAGCCATGGTCATGGGATGTGAGAGCGATATGAGATTCCTCTATTGTGCCTCTTGTGTTTCTGCAATTTTAGATGATTGGTCAGGTGTGGATATCTCAAGGGCTATTGACTATATTTTACGAAGCATTGTAAGCGTTCATTTAAATTATTATTATTACTTATTTTATTATTATTGTTACTTACTTTTATTATATTACTATTTATTAATATTGATTAGTAGGCATTATTATCTTTATTTTCCTTTTGCTAGTATATGTTAAATGGTTCACACATTATTGTGATAATTACAGTCGTATGACGGTGGTATTGGGCAAGGACCAGGTCTTGAATCTCATGGAGGCTCCACATTCTGTGCCGTAGCGAGTTTGTTTCTGATGAGAGAACATATTAACATATTGGAAGTATTGACACGGGATCATTTAGCTCGGTTAAAGCGTTGGTGCCTTATGAGACAGGATGGTGGATTTAACGGAAGGCCTGGAAAACCGTCCGACACGTGTTATAGTTTCTGGGTTGGTGCTACGCTCGAGCTGCTGGAGTTCCTTAATTTTTCAGACGCTGAACAAAACAAAACGTTTATCCTTAATACTCAAGACCCTCTCGTTGGAGGATTGGCCAAATTTGACAATACTCCTCCAGATCCTTTACATACGTATTTAGGTAAATGTGAGATAATTTACGTCGCAATCTTGTTTCATAGAATAATTTACACGTCTTTATAATAACGCAAGTATATAACTTCTTCAACAGGTTTGTGTGGCTTAAGTCTTTTGAGACAGCCTGGTTTGTGTTCGATAAACCCCGAACTTAATATTTCTCAACGAGCTTACGAGCATTTACAACGGATTCATAAAAAGTGGCGGAGTGAATGACTTCGGTGCATAAACATTCGAGGGACTAGTAATCATATCAGAAATGCACAGTACTTATTATATCAGATCGGACATTCCATCACATCGATCGTAACTCTTGTTCGCATTTCATCGCATTCTCTGTGCTAAAATTCGCATTCTAAAGATGTCAATTAATACTGCAACAATAATCACCACATGGACAGGATATTTCGTTTTGTATATTATTTGGGGCTGTTTGTTGAATGCTTGTTATAAGTATATATATGTAAAGTATATGTATTAAAGTATATGTATTAAAACATAGATATTATATATAGTTATATTGATAGAAAAGGAATATTAATAAAAACGATTTAGCTTACTCTTTGTAATTTGTGTTTTTTTTTATTCCGAATATTTAGATATTATTCATAATCTTATTAATATTCATTCAACTCAGGGAAATGATAACAAATTATATTGCAACATATTATATTTTCTAATTGCTTATCATAAGTTGATATAATTAACATATGCTTTGTATAAAATTAGTTGCATTCGAAAATTAAAATTTAGTAAATATTTAAAACAAATACGAACATTGAATAGCATTTTTATTTAATAAAAATAGTCAAATTGTGTGAACAAAAATATACTTGATATACGAGAAATATAATACACACAGTCTCTCTTTAAATATTCTTTTCGCATTTATATTTTGATTAATTTTTTAGATTGTTTTTATTAATCCTATATTATTATTACGTAAGAAATTAATGTTAAATTTTTAAATAAAACACAATAGTAATATTAATAACTAATTAAATTATTAAATGATATACGGTTATAACGCGCAACTATTTAAATACGAAATACGCGGCATATGCTTCGATTTACATACAACTTCATGCGCAATAAAGAGTGTTGAAAGAGGGTAAGTGAGAGACAAGAAAAACGAAGTATTATGAATACAAGTAACACGTATATGTAGGCAAATGACACTTTATAAAGACGTCAATTTACTAATCGTAAAAGAAAATGAGCTTTTCTGAGAGAACTTTTGATTTCGACAAACGCCATTTTCGTCGCTCATATTCGTGACATCGAGAATTTCATTCTGTGGAAGTGCAATAGATGCAACCTGCGTTAGCACCGCCCTTGACGCTCCTCGGCCAATCACGCGGCCCGGTGCTATGGCAACCGGGTTCGCGACTAGATTCGCGCGTATCGCTATCGCAGACGTTGCTCAGCCGTGCAGTGCGACGGATGTTCAGTATTGTCGAGCGCCGTCGCGACTGACGCAGTACTCCCGCGCCTCGCGAGTCGTGCTGATTGTGCGTGATTTTTTCTCACGTTTCTGTATCGCGCGTTATCGCGCAAATCGGTGAAACACGGAAGCACCTCCGATCCCGAGGACGACGCCGGAGCCCGACGGCGACCGCGACGGCTCCCGCCCGTGGAGAAATTTCATCCCATTCGCAAGTCGGGTCGCGCTCCCGCGGCCCACAACTTCGGCAGAGGTTAGTATGTGCGCGACAAATTCAAATTGACCGGATCGTCGCGCGCTATTGCATACGAAATCGCGAGCGGATTGGACTCATCTTTTCCCAGCTCAATCTTTCTCGGCCACTCTCGATTCGCAATAGCGCGAAATAATAGCGCGTATTACTTTTTATTAAATGCGAAGCGTTGACGCAGCATTATTGAAATTAAAATGAAATTGGAATTCATTCGCGCGCGCAATTCCGCGTTTCCGAGAATTTTCGCGTTCGATGAGCGAATATGCGATAGTCTTATTTTTATAAGAAGAAAAAAAATTGCAGCGTATGAATTTAAATGAGGACTGGTTTTTTTTTTATTTCCGTTTCTACCAACGTAGTTAACTTTAATTCTGGTTTAACTTACTTTTTATTTTTTTTCTAGTTTTAAGATTTAGAAAAGGATAAAGAATAAATTAAACCGAGATTAAAATTAATCTACATTGAAATAGGCATTAGCTGAACTTCTTGTTACTCTTTCTCTTTTTTATTCCAATATAAAACATGAAAAAATAATAAAGAGAAGAGCTGAGCCGTGCAAGAAGTTCAGCTGAAAAGAACAGATCTATAATTTATGTGAACTCCGTCGTATTTTGCGACTTCGCGAAATACGACTCCGAAATTGACTCCTTTTACTACGAAGAAATTATTCAGAGAAAAATGTTTGGTATTTGTGACTATATAATTGTACTGTATAAAATAATTACGGTTAAAAGCTCTATTTTTATGGTTATTACTGTTAATAATGATAATCCTATATGCATGTTCTTTCGAACGTGAAAAAATTGTAATTTATGATAATTTCAAATATTCATACAAAAAAATATCACATAAAAATGGTAAATAATATAAACATTTTTATTTAATATGTGCAATCACAATTATAGTGAATGTAACTATTTATGCGATAATAATAATTAAAAAATGTGTTAAGAAGAAATTCAAGATTTAAGCAATGTATATGACAATATTTAATAACACAATTGACTTATATTTTCATGGTTAAAATAACTATAAATATTATAGATGTTCCAAAAATGGCTAAATTATTAGTTATAAATAAACGAATTAGAATGTTTTAGTCTTTTTAAATCTATTAAATTCTAATTACTGCCTAAATTCTTTGGAGTGGAATCTCACTTTAAAAAGTGAAAATTGAGCCAATTTTGAAGAAGAAGGCTCAATTTTTAGTCTTTAAAAGTGAGATTTTACACTTCAGAGTGAAATTCACTCTAAAAGATTTAAAGAATAAGATAATTATTTATTCTGATTGATCATCACTCTTCTGATGATTCGTCTATTTTCAACCAGACGTTTTTGTCAGTGTACTGCCATGATTAGAGTGACTCACTTGTCTCGAATCGCGCCGCCACTTCCGGGTTGATTCGTCAACGCGAATTTCTCGGACACGCTCAATGCACTCGGTGGGATGTACGTTGTCTATTCATAAATATAACACGCGAGAAATTGCTTGGGAAAAGTCTCGGGAGATAAATATAGAGTTGAAATGAAAGGTTATAAAAGGAGATAAAAAAAGTTCGTTCGGTAGAGGAAAGACTGTTACAGGGCTCGATATATTATTCTAATGAGATTTTTAGCTTTATCATCGAGATCAACGTACGTCCCTTTTCTCTGTACTTCGGTATATCACCTCGATTAAAGTTTCCCCATTCACCACGTCGAATTTCATCTATGCGGATTATCTCTTTAATGCGTGGGGAAACGACTCCAGTCTGAGCTCTTTTGAGGTGAATTATGAAGAAATGCGCTGAGAGCGGCTGCTGAAATATTCCCATCGTTATTTCATCACATGAAAGGCACGTCGACTGATTTCCCTGTCCTTCAGTCGCTTGTTAGTGTTTATAATAACGCATACATGAAATACCAATAACATACATAAAGTCAATAATAACACATTTTAGCATTCTAGATAGAAAATATTTTGGTCCTTTTTCTGTCTCTAAAAGTGAAACATGTTGACGTTACCTTTTATACCAAGTATCAGGAATTTACCGCATCGGTTTCCAGACCCTCGTAGTTTCCGACATCTCGACAGCTTGTCGTATAATCGAAGACATTAAAGGCGTTCGTTTCTCTTGGCGGTTTTTTTTCCCGTATTGCCATTTCGTCAGTGACTTCGAATCTCATTTATACTTCGAATGGTTTTCAGTAATTTATTTTCAATATAAATATATATCACGTATAAATTTATTTTACTGTATATCTTATATAAATTTAAAATGGAATTACTAGATAATATCACAATATACAATAATATGTAAGATTATTATTAATATCAAATTTTTATCTTTAGACAAATTTTTCTAATTTTATAAATTTTAAATAACGATTAATTATCATGTAATGATTTTATGTAATGACTATTAGATAAATATTTGTCATATTTTTGACGATTTTATAATAATTATTAAATTTACCATCGAATATATTCGATGATAAATTTAACAATTATTATAAAACTATAAAAAAAACAAATATTTACTTAATATTCATTTTATATTCATTACATAATACTGCTACAGTTATTAACATTAGCATTTAAAAATTAGAAAATTAAGAAAATTTGTTAATTTGAAATAAAATTAAGCTTCTAAGACGAATTTTCTTAATTTTACAAATTTTTTACATAATTTTTTAAGTTTCAATGTTAATGATTGTAATGATTTTTTATAATAATTTGTATTTAAATATTTGTCATATTTTTTATGATTTTATAATAATTGTTAAATTTACCGTCGGATGATCATTACATCGCTCTATTTACTTAACGATTTTAATTACTTCGCTCGACCTTAATATCCGAGAGTGCATTATCATATTAAATAGAACATCAGCAAATTTTTTATTTTTTATTTGCACCACATTATACGTGATGTTCTTTATTACCTGTTTACTTTTGGAGCTAAAAAATATAGAAAAGTTTTGTAAGGATACGAAGATAAATGAGACTGTCCACGATTAACAGCTTTTTGAATTATTGCTGGGAGATGATACTATAAATTATCAGTGGAATGATAATGTATGATAGAGTGATAAATATCAGAATTAAGATTAGTCATGTGTGAAGTCCGCTTACAAAGAGAAAAATTAAAAGTCGTATCGAGAAATGCATCCCGATGCAATTATCAGATTAAAGCATTGAAAAATAATCCGATTGTAAATCATTAGGGAATACGGGTGGATACACATAAATTCCATGTTAATAGCCATTTTCTACATTGAGGAATTCAATACAGGAGAACCTTCGATATCGTTGAATATGCAGGTATCGATTGATTTCCAAAGACTGTAAATCAACCGATATTGAATTACAAATTATGTTAGCGAACGAGCATAAATGTTAAGCCTATGTTACACTGCATTGAAGATTGAGGATTGCGAATTAGGGGGGGATTAGAATTCAATCAGAACAAAACAGATTAAAATAGAAATTATCTCACTGGTCGAATTTTAATCTCCAAATATAAGTAAAATGTTTGTATGAGTCGCAGTTATCGATGCGTAAATAATATATTAAAACTATAAGATATAATTCGCAAACAATCGGAATGTACTTATCAAGTTAATTGCAAACGTTTCGACTCTGGATTTGAATACATAGTTTGTACTTGGCTTCCGCTGAAGAGGATTCATATTCAAAGTTGAAACGTTTGCAGCTAACTTTACTGATAAATACATTCCAATTGTTTGTGAATCATCTTATCGTTTTATAAATATATTGACTCGTATTTAAAACGTGCTTTTACGATATTAGCAACGTATTTACAATATAGTTCACGTTACGTATACTATATAGAATTTCAGACATAAAAGTGCGTATTTATTGATAAAAGCATGTTTTGAATACAAGCCATGACATTATTTACGCACCAACAACCACGGTTCATATAGGCATTTTTCTTACATTTGATTTAGTCTTGAAATCATAAAATTATTTTTATTTTTACTCTAATTTCCAATTCGCAATCCTTAATTTCCAATGTGTGTAGTGTAACACAGGCTTTAATTGGTAATAATTTTATCTATATTTTAAAACTAATTTAAAACTAGAACTAAAGAGATCTTTAAAGAGAATTCCGACCTAAAACGGTATAAAACAGTAATCTGGAATGAGATTTTAATGCGTAAAACTTAAGCTTAAGCCGTAAGAAATTAGCCAATCACAGTCGAATGTGAGAATAATCGACTACGATTGATCAATTTCTTACGGACTTAAAACTTAAATTCAGGGCTGGATATGTATTTGAAATACTTTTATTTGAAAAACAGTATTGGTAAGACAATTACATTGTTTGTATTTTGTGTTTGTTCGAAGTACATGAAAATATTTTATATTTTGTATTTTATGGGACAATATAAAAGTATTTTGTATTTTGTATTTCAAATACTAACATTAACAATTAACCTTATTATTTGAATTATAAAATATAAAAAGCTTTCAATTTCTCTTTCTTTAATTTTTTTAAAGATTTTAAATACGAAATATAAATACGCTTTTATGTGATCCACTGAAATAAAAAATACAAAATACGCTTGTATATTGCAAATAGTGTGTTTTAAATCAAAATATTTCAAATATAGCCCAGTCCTGCTTAAGTTTAGCAAGTTTAAAATCTTATTGTAGACGCCACTTTAAAGATGTATCGCTCGAACTTTCTTTAGCGGGCAACTTCTCTTCTCGGACTTCGCGATTATCACAGATTCATCTAGTATCATTACCGTGAAGACGTAATGATCGAACAAAAGATTAGATCGTAGAAAGCCGGCGACGGGCAATTCGCACTGCGGAAGAGAAACGGATGTGTTTCACAATGGCGTGACGGTAAGAAGCCACCTTAATTGCGCCATTTGTTCGTCGCGATTTAACGTTGTGCCATTTAGAGCGCATGGTTTGCTTCGAACGACTAAAACTAACGCCTTTCGTCTAGCAGTAACACTTCTGATATCGATTGAATTAACCG